TCCCGCCCCTCCAGGGAGGCCCCACCAGAGCGGGCAGGGTATTCGCACACCATGATATTTATCAGGTGTCGTGCCCCTCCCACCCCTCCAGGGAGGCCCCACCAGAGCGGGCAGGGTATCCGTACACCATATTATTTATCAAGTTTCGTGCCCCTCCCACCCCTCCAGGGAGGCCCCACCAGAGCGGGCAGGGCATTCGCACACCATATTATTCATCAGGTTTCGTGCCCCTCCCACCCCTCCAGGGAGGCCCCACCAGAGCGCAGACAAGAAGCAATGGAACCCCGTAACATCTTTATGTGGGGAACTCCGTTAGCATAATTGTTGTTGTTGTTGTTGTTGCTGTTGTTGTTGTTGTTGTTGTAGTTGTTGTTGTTGTTGTTCTTGTTATTGTTGCTGTTGCTGTTGACTTCTCACTACTGGAGAATCACTATTGTCAATCCCCCCTCCGATGACCATTGTGTTTGTCAATTGAAATGCTCCCCCCGAGCGGGCTCGCACCCTGTTCTTCACCAAAGATAATCACAAAAGGTTCAAACTGCGCCCCTCCCACCCCTCCAGGGAGGCCCCACCAGAGCGCAGACAAGAAGCAATGGAACCCCGTAACATCTTTATGTGGGGAACTCCGTTAGCATAATTGTTGTTGTTGTTGTTGTTGCTGTTGTTGTTGTTGTTGTTGTAGTTGTTGTTGTTGTTGTTCTTGTTATTGTTGCTGTTGCTGTTGACTTCTCACTACTGGAGAATCACTATTGTCAATCCCCCCTCCGATGACCATTGTGTTTGTCAATTGAAATGCTCCCCCCGGGCTCGCACCCTGTTCTTCACCAAAGATAATCACAAAAGGTCAAACTGCGCCCCTGGCCCCCGGGTTACAACAACAACGGCTCCCGCCTCATACTTCCTCACAATTTAGCCAAGACCCTCGCTCCCGCCTGAGAGTACCTCGCACTTTACTCAGGAGTCGCTCTCGCTTGGGACCTGCGTACGATTCAGGAATCGCTCTCTCGGCGCTCTGGAGTCGCGCTCTCGCTGGAGACTGGCTTGCAACTTACTTAAGAATCGCAATCTTGCGTTGGAGTTCCCCGCGATTTACTCAAACGCCGCGCTCCCGACACTCAGGCACCCAGGAGTCGCGCTCACGCCTAGGACTCCCTCACAGCTTACTTAGGAATCGGGATCTCGCTGCCGTTCGTGGCTCCGTTGCAACCCTTCGTGGCCCCGTTGCAGCCCTTCGTGGCCCCCTCGCTGCTCGGCCCCCTTGCAGCCCTTCGCGGCCCCCTCGCTGCCTTTCGTGGCCCCGTTGCAGGCCTTCGTGGTCCCCTCGCTGCCCTTCGGGGCCCCTTTGCAGCCCTTCGTGGACCCCTGCTGCCCTTCGTGGCCCCGTGCAGCCCTTCGTTGCCCCCTCGCTGCCCTTCGTGGCCCCGTTGCAGCCCTTTGTGGCCCCCTCGCTGCCCTTCGCGGCCCTGTTTCAGCCCTTCGTGGACCCCGCGCTGCCATTCGTGGAAATTCCCAGCCAACGCGAGGTTCCCCCGAGGCACCTGCGGGGGCCTACCAGGTGACAGCCTGAAACTCCCAGCCAACACGGGGCGCACACGAGGTGCCCGCGAGGTTCCCGCGGGAGCCCACTAAGCCAAAACCTGGAACACCCAGCCAACACGAGGCGCCCACCAGCGTAAGGCCCAAAACTCCCAATCAACACAAGACGCCCGCAGGGGCATCACGCGAAAACCGGAACGCCCAGCCCATTCCTGAGTACGAAACAAAGGCCCACGCAATGCAAGCCATGTTTTGGGAATCGGAACTGTCGACATGGATCATCGTATAACCCCAAAAGTGTCATTTCAAATCGAAGAGTGAGACATACGCGTGACTGTTGTGCATGTTAATGCGCGGACCATAATCTCTGAGGGGTCGAAAGCAAGAACATCATTTTGAAAAAAGGCCGCGCCCCGTCTGCTTGACTGTGTCAGGCTGTAAGAGGAAACAGCGTAGCGCTAAGGCGATCGCCGCGTTTGGAATACGATTCCCTGAGCAGCTTGTCCAGAAAGATCCACAATGCTTCTCCTAAGGAACTCCGCCGGCCCCCTTGTGGGGCCACCAGGCTGCGAGGCGCGTGATTCGTAGTTTCCTGTACCAGTTGTAGTTTCTAGTTTCCAGTGTTACAGTTCTGCCTCTTGCTGGTTACTGTAACTAGTTGACTTCTTGCTGGTTACTGTAACTAGTTGATTGACCGCGCGAGGGGGTGGGAGGCCCAAACAGGATTTTCCAGCGTCCCCTGGGCGCGTTGTCTGAATTACTGGGGGGGCTCGAAATCGACACCCCTCACGCAGATCCGCGGGGTCAGGGTCCAAAAACACAGGGGATTTGCAACATTTCTGAAATTCGGTGCCACCCCTCACGCAGATCCGCGGGGTCAGGGTCCAAAAACACATGGGATTTGCCACATTTCTGAAATTCGGTGCCACCCCTCACGCAGATCCGCGGGGCCACCCCTCACGCAGATCCGCGGGGTCAGGGTCCAAAAACACATGGGATTTGCCACATTTCTGAAATTCGGTGCCACCCCTCACGCAGATCCGCGGGGTCAGGGTCCAAAAACACATGGGATTTGCCACATTTCTGAAATTCGGTGCCACCCCTCACGCAGATCCGCGGGGTCAGGGTCCAAAAACACATGGGATTTGCCACATTTCTGAAATTCGGTGCCACCCCTCACGCAGATCCGCGGGGTCAGGGTCCAAAAACACATGGGATTTGCCACATTTCTGAAATTCGGTGCCACCCCTCACGCAGATCCGCGGGGTCAGGGTCCAAAAACACAGGGGATTTGCCACATTTCTGAAATTCGGTGCCACCCCTCACGCAGATCCGCGGGGTCAGGGTCCAAAAACACAGGGGATTTGCCACATTTCTGAAATTCGAACCCATCACGCACATCCATCGCAAGGCGTGGTAACCCAAACTGCGAGAACTCCCTCGGCCCTTTCATCGCAAGGTGTGGTAACCAAGCCCTTAAACCATACACGTCTTACCAATCGCCAGGTGTGGTAACCCCTCTTGTGATCAGTTGGCTTTGCTGATTGCGACTCGGCTTCGCATGAAGTTTCGATACTGCTTCACGACAGCGCCAAGGCCTCATAACTTAGCTCTTCCATGGCCCATTCTCCGAGAGAGGGGGCCGGCGGCAGGGGGCGAAGCCCTTACGGATAATCCGTGCGCTGCCAGGTCTGGAATCGGGCTGGCGACGTGGCCTCCCGTTACCTCCCACGGCCTGCCGTGACCTCGCGTTGCCATCGCTATCCCTCTGCCGATACCTGTGTGCTCTTCTATCCTTTTTTGCCCCTATCCTATATCCCTGCCCCCATCCCCATCCCGATCACTATCCCTGTACTCCGAAGCCCGATACCCCTATCCCTACCTCTATCCCGATCACCGCGGCCCCCCATCGTGACCCTCCATCTTTCCCCCCATCGTAACCGTGCGAACCTGCTTAGGGTTTTCTGCCGCAAGGGTGTCATCCGCCCTCGGGCCATGTACCTGCTGCATTTTTGAAAACGGATGTGCTCGGTGCAGAGGCGAGAGCCACACGTTGAAAAGGGTTCGCCGTCCTCTTGTGACAATGTGGGGGCGTTCCAAGCATCACGGTCATAACCTGTGGGGAGCCCTCGAGCGAAACGCCCTGCCCGCCCTGCCCCTGCCGGCACGGCCAGTGGTACACCAAGGAGGAGCTATCTGTGAGGACGGCTTTTTGCGCCACTGCCTGACGAGTCCTCCGAGCTCCCAGCGCCGCTGCCAGAGCCCTCGGACGAGTAGGAGGAGCAGGACGAGGACGAGCACTGCTTCGCCTTCTTCTTCGCAGCCGCCTTCGCTTTCTTCTTCTTGGCTCCTTCTTCGGCCTTCTCCTTGGCAGCAGCTTTGGCGGCGGCTTTCTTGTCTTTTGCCTTCTTCTCCGCCTTCGCCTTCGCCTTGGCCTTCGCCAGTTCTTTTTCTTTCGCCTTTGCTCTCTTCTTCTTCTCCAGTTCCTTCTCCTTCGCCGCTAGAGCCTTAGCCTTCTTCTCTTTCTCTTTCAGCTTCTCTTTGGCCTTCGCCTTCTCCTTCTCCTTCTTTTCTTTTTCCCTCTCCCTCTCCTTCTCTTTCTCCTTCTGCTTGTCCCTCTCCCTCTTCCTCCTGCCTCTGCTGCCGGACGACGCAGAGCTGGAGTCGGACTTCGCCTTTGCCCTCGCCTTGGCGCGGTTGCCGCCAGCGCGCTGGCCGCGGCTGCGGCAGCGGGAGCTGCTGGAGCTGCGGGCGCGGCGGCGCTGGGCGTCCTTCGCGCTCCCGCGGCGGCTGCGGCTCGGGCTGCGGCTGGCGGCCCTCCTGCGCTTGGGCCCTCGGCCGCCAGAGGAGCCCTCGCTCCGGAGCCTCTTCCTGTCCTGGCGGCTGCCGCTGCGCCGCAGCACAGACAGGAACCGACGGTCCGTCTCGATGGCCGCGGCAGCCGCTGCCACCGCCGCGGCCGTCGCACCTCCAGGGGCGCCGGGCGCCTGCCCGTCCGAGCCGCGCACCGCATCCTCTCCACCCTTGTCGGCTCTCTCCTGCCCCACCGATCCGCTTGGGGTCCCGTCTGCAGGCTTCGCCCCCTCCGTCGTTGCCGCTGGCTCCGCCGCCGCCGCCGGCATCACCGTGCTGGCCGCCGCTGGGTCAGCCGAGATGGTCTCCTGCTGCGCCGGCGCTGGGGGCCGTCCCACGGGGCGAGGCCGCCCGATGACGTAGCTGCTGCGGAAGGCCGGCACCGGCCCAGCGGGCGCCACCTTCGCCTTCGCCTCCGCGGGGGCAGCGGCGGGCGCCGCGACGGCGGGCGCCACTGCAGCGGGCGCCACTGCGGCGGGCGCCGCGGCGACGGGCGCCGTGGTGGCGTGCGACGTGGCGGTGGGCGCCGTGGTGGCGGGCGCCCCTGGGGGCGGCGGCGGCGGCGGCGGCGGCGCCGACTCGCCCGCCGCCAGGGTTGCGACCGCCGGCGCGGCCTGTGCGGGCGTGCCTGGCGGCGGCCCAGGCGGCGGGGGCGGCGGCGAATCCGCCTGGTCGGCGGCAACTGCCCTCGGCGGAGCGGCGCCTCCGGCCTTGGCAGGCATGGTCGACAAGAGGGCCGCCAGGGTGGCGGCGGGCCCTGCCAGGGGGGCGCCCGCCGCCTGTACCTCCTGCGCTGCTGGTTCCCGCTTCGTCGTCGCTGGCTCCTGTTGCGTGGGAGCCGGCTCCTGCTGTTGTACTGCTGCGGGCGGCTTCGGCTGCTGCGTTTGAGGCTGCTGCTGCTGCAGCAGCGGAGGCTGCCCCTGCTGCTGCTGCAGCGGAGGCGGCTGCGCATCCTGCTGCGGCTTTGCCTGAGGCTGCACTTGCTGCTGCTGCTGCATTTGCTGCTGCTGCGCCTGCTGCTGGAGCTGCTGCTGCAGCAGTTGCTGCTGCAGCAACTGCTGCAGCAACTGCTGCACTGATGCTGACTGCAAGGCGGCATCTGCTGGCTGCTGCTTCTGCGTGTGCTGGGGCACTGTTCCGGGGGAGAACTGGAAGAACTGTCCGCTTCCCTGCTGCAGCTGCTGGGTGGCGGCACCCGCGACGAGCTGGGTTGGCTGGCCTGCGAAACCGGCGCCCGCGAGGCTGGCACCTGCGAGGCGGTGCTGCTCCAGCAGCTTGACCAGGGCCCGCTGCTGCGTAAGCTCCTGGAGCTTCTCGATGTTCCTGGCCTGTGGCTGCTGCTGCTCGTTCATCTCCACTGTGAAGCTCAACACTTCGCCAACCTCCAGCATGAGGCCCGTGAACCTCCTGTGAATGAAGACGTCTTTGCCGTGCTTTGCTTTGATTTCGGGGCAGCCCACGAACCCGAAGCCCTTCGAGGAGTCCCAGGTCAGCACCTCCCCCATCATGCGACCCGAGGCTGACACGATCTGAAGCTGTTGCTGTTGCATCGCTTGCAACTTCTGCTTCTCCAGCTGCTCCTGCTGCACCACCTGCAGGTCCACCCTCCCTCGGATCGAAAACTCGGAACCGAATCAACGAAACAGACATCACATCGAAAGAATCGGAAGCGTGCGCGCTGGATCGGACCCGAATAAGAATCGGCCTTCCGCCTCGGATCAGACTTGGAATCGAAGCTGCTGCGTCGGAACCGGGGCCGACCTCGAGTCGGGGCTGCTCCCCCTCCCCCCTTCACCTTCCCTCTCCCTTCGCCTCCTCCTCCTCCTCCTCCTTCTCCTCCTCCTCCTCCTCCTCCTCTTCCTCCTCCTCCTCCTGCCGCTCCTTCTCCTCCCCCTCCTCCTCCCCCTCCTCTTCCTCCTCCTCCCCCTCCTCCTCCTCCTCCTCCCTCCTCCCCCTCCCCCTCCTCCTCCTCCTCCTCCTCCTCCTCCTCCTCCTCCTCCTCCTCCTCCTCCTCCTCCTCCTCCTCCTCCTGGGTGCGGGCGGCGCAGTGGGTGGCAGCCAGCATCCGTGGCGGCTCGCGCCCCTCTGGGCCAGCGCCTCGCGGCTCTGGACCAGCAGCCGCCCCGCGGGGGAGGGAAGGAGGCCGGAGTAACGGCCGTCTGGCGTGCCTCTGGCCGGACACAATTGCCTCGGGCAATTTTGCCGCCGTGCCCAGGCGGGGTGGTGGTGGAGCAACGCTCATGGACATGTCGCGGGGGCTCCCCGGCCACCACCGTGTCGACGTTGAGCTACGCTGTCAATGCCTCGCTCTCCTGGGGCTCTGCTGTGTTCTTGGCTCGTTAACATGTGTCGCATGTGCGTAGCTATGCTGTCAATGCTGCGCTGTCCTGTGGCTCTGCTGTGCTCCTGCTCGCAACGCACACCGCCAGAGGCGGCGGAGAGCTCGAGAGATCCATCCACAAAAGGGATGGAGTCAGGGGACCGGAGCGCGCCCCACGGGGAAGGAGTTTGGGGGCGCCCAGCGACCCTCTGGAGTCGGGGCGTCCACGAATCCTGACAGAGAGTCCACAGGCATTCTGAGACGCCGTTGCTGTACATGCACGGCGGCCGATTGTGCATTCGAGGCCTTCGCCATGCGTGCATTTTCGTGGTCCCGTGGTTCTGCTCCAGAGAGATTCGGTATTGGATGCGCGATAAGGCTGCAAGCCCCTTGGACGCCCGCGCTGCAGCTTCTTCGAGCGCGGCGGGCCCTTGAAAGTAGTCGAGGATGGGCCGAAGAGGCAAGGAAGCCAGGGTACCCTTGGGAAGGTTACCCATCCTTACAGTCGGCTTCGACCGTGGTGGGCGGCAAGAGACGCAGTGCACGCCCAGGTAATGGATCAATGGAGAAGCAAGCAGCGGCACGGACATCATTTCTCGGAGGTCCGCGCGTATTTCTTGGATCGGCGCTGGACCCCCGTCGCTGGCGCGCGGAGCGAGCCAGCGGCGGCGTCGGAGGCGCCGCCAGGGCGGGCCCAGCGCCGATTTAAGAACTCCGCGCGGACCTCCGATGCATTTTGCTTACGCCGTTTTCAGTTGAGCAGGAACAGGCCTTCTCAGCAGGCGGCGGGGCTTCTAACAGCCCTCCGGCCTTCTGAAAGCGGATTTTGGAAGAGAAATTACAAATAGTCAAAAATAGTGTAAAAATCGTCCCCCGATTCTTCGACCCAACAGGCCCGATCCAAGAGGCCTTTCAACCGCAACCCCAGCACGGTGGCGGGAAGGGCCGCAGGCCACAAGACTCCCTGTCTGTCTCTGCTACGACTCCCTCGGCCCGCATGGGGAACATCTCCTTCGCCTTCTCCTGCTCCTTTCCACCTTAATCCCCCTCCTCCTCCTCCTCCTCCTCCTCGTATTCGTCGTCGTCGTCTTCAGGGTCAGCGGCATCGGCCGAAAGGCCTTAGCAATCAAAAACAGTTAAACATAGTGTAAGAATCGTCCCTGGATTTAGGGAATCGAGCTCTATACACCGACGCTTCTTCCAGCCCTGCATTAGAATTTGCACTGGAGAGCGGATCCTGGTGTATGCGGGACCCTGTTGTATACATTTTTCGTTGTTTCCCCTGGACATCGGGGAAAAAAGAATACACCACGCCACCCCAGCGCCGTCCTTGACCCTCAAGAAATCCTGGGATTGAAAGACAGCCCGCCACTGGTAATGTATATGCTCCAACTTCCGACGACTCTTCGAGGATCTGGCCGTGCGAACCTCCAGGCCGCCGGGCCGCGCGCGGCCCCCCTGCAGAGACACCGCGCGAGTGGCAGGGCGAGGGCACCTCTTCGGCCCGCGGCCGCGGCCCTCTCCCGTGCCCCACTGCGGGGGGCGCGCCCGGGCGGGATGGACCGGCTCGTCGGAGACGGCAGCAGCAGAGCTCCGCACATCCTAAGCGGGTCTCTGGTTTTCTGTGGACACCCCGCGCAGTCCTCCCCCCCCCCCTCCCTCCTCATCACTCACCCTCACTCACTCCTTCATGCACTCATCATCAGCATCATCATCTTCATCAAGCACGCACTCACTTACACTCACACTCACTCAATCACACACTTACACACTCACTTCTCATCGAAGATGACAGCAACATAATTTCGACGGTGGTTCCTCCCCAGTCAGTGCTTGCACTGAAGGGGTCCTGGCGGAAGCGGAAAGGTTTGGCGAACATTTCCCGCGCCGATTTTGGAAGCAGGCTGGGTTCCCGGGTTCCCGGGTCCGGGTTCCCGGGTTCCCCATTATTGGTTCCGGGCCGAGTTCGGTGGGTTCTGGGTTCCCGGGCTCCGGGGTTCCCGGTCGATCTCCTTAGCGAAAGCCATCCACTGATTGGGGTTTCTCTCTGGCAGAATCTTGAACAACCAGCTAAACGATATGACATGATAGGAGACTCACCATAGAGCATGCTGGTTTTGCGGCGCCGCCAACGCGCCAAGATCAACATCGGAGGACGCTCGATCGAGGCCCTCGCGGCCTCCTCACGCTGGATCCCAGGCGAAGGACGAGCCGACCGACGCTGCGCCCGGTGAGGGGCGTCCAGCAACGGAGGCAGGGTCAGTCAGCACCGACTCGGCAACCCGGATCGAATCGAGCTGCATCGGCAGGGCTCGGCTCGGCCGTGGTGTACAACAGCGCCATGCAAAGCTCGGGCCACGCCGGCGGAACAGCGGAATCGAATCGGACCAGGCCAGCCGGAACCGACCTGCCACCGTGAATGCGGCACGTTAACACGTGGAAGAATGCCAAGGGCTGCCTGCCACGGTTTCTGCAATCTTTCAAGGGGCCTCCCACCCGCTCCGGTAGCACCCGCCCGACTGCACCACCCCTACTCCTGGGGGGTCCCTGTGTGGCCATAGCTCCTCCCTGGGGCTCTCCAAACCTTCCATGCCGGCCCAGGCGGCCCCCGAGAGGGTGCAAGAGGGCCCCGAGTCGCCGAACGATCGCTCGAAGACACCCAAGATGGCCTCCAGATGACCCAAGAGGCCTCCAACACGCCCCAAGAAGCCTCCAAGAGGCTTCCTTAGAGGGCCCCAAGAGGCAAACATCATTGATTTTCCTTAGGTTAATGATCGATTCTGGCGTTCTCGCCTTTTCGGCTGCCCGACGCTCCAAGACGGCCCAAGAGGCCCTCAAGACAAGAGGCCTTCAAGAGGGCCCGAACCAAAGAGGGCCCTAGAGGTGCCAAAACGCCCCCCAAGAGGCCTCAGTACTGCCTCCAGGAGGCCCACGAGAGGCCTCTCGAGATCCCAGCGAGCATCCCATAAATTTCATGCCCACAACCCAAGCACGGTGGCGGGACTTGCCGTAGGCAGCTGGATATCGAGTCGGATTGATCGAATCGAGACGGACCCCAAGTTTAATGAGGAACGTAGCTTCTCCGACACGCAACACGCAACCCGTAACGTTTTGACACGGAGCTCAACACGTAGACTGAAAACGTAGGTCTGACGCGATATGTTCGCTAAAACGTAGACCAATACGCTGAGCCAACACGCAACGTATTGACACGAACGTTGTAAGCACGGTACGTGCTGCGTTTCCAAACGGGCGTATCGAGGCAGCTACGGGGAGGAGGCAATCACCGAGACGAGATGGCGGCACCGTGCTCCCCGAGTGGCACTCCTCGCGGCGGTGCGAGGCGTCGTGACTGGCGAGCTGGACGGCACACGGGACCAGCTCGCTTCCGCGCGAGGCCTCCTCGGACGGCGGGAGATCGGAGTTGCACGCGCTCTGGATCCACGACGGCCTCGCCGCGATCGGCAGAGCGGGGCCTTCCCCGACGGAGGAGGGGGCCGGAGCTCCGCAAGGCCCTCGGGGGCGGCGCCACTGCGGCCGCCCGCGAGCCGCGCTGGCGCGCCCCCGCGGCGACAGCTGCCCCCGAGTGTGCAGGATCGGGGGCGCGCAACGCCGAGAGCGCTCGGTGTGCGGCTGCTCGGCGGGGGGGGGCGGGCTCGGAACGCCGCCGAATGCGGTGGCGCGCCCGAAGCGCGGGGCCGCGGCGCCTCAGGCAGGCGGCTGTGCAGCGCGCGGCTCTCGCTGCGGCGCCGCCCACGCTTTCACCGCACGGGGCTCTCGCGAGAGGCCTCCTCGGGCTCCGCGGCCCGAGGTCAAGATTCGCGCAACAGCTGCGCGGATGGCGGGAGGCTCCGTTTCAAGCTGGGGCTCTCGCTGGCGGCCATGTGCACGGGTGGAGGGCGCCGCCTCTTCAAAACGGGGCCATCGCTGGACACCGCCTGGACCTTTCTGGTCCTACCTTTGGGCGTTCCTGTAGCTCGAACGAAGCTGGAATGCCTGTAGAGGCTTCCTGGGGCATCCCTGATCCATGCTGAATTGTTCTGGTGCTCCTTACTCATTCCATCCGCGTCCCTCTCGCCCCCTCCTTCTCCTCCTCCTCCTCCTCCTTCTCTCCTCCTCCCTCTCTCCCCATCCTCCTCCTTCTCTTCCTCCCCCTCCTCCTCTTCCCCAATCCCTGTCCTTCTACGAATACATCTACGACCACCCTGCGGGTGATAAGGAGGTTGGGGGGGCAGCAATGGGCAAAAGTGGTGATTGTTGTTCTGACGATGCCAGCGGGGCGGAGTCCAGTGAGTAGTGTGATTGTGCACGTGAGCGTGATATGATGTGTCGATGTTGGCGAAGCGCGCTCGACATTGTCGTGAAGCGCTGTCCCCGCGTGCGCTTATCAATCGCGCGAACCTCACCTCAGCGCTAGTCGACGTGGTCGAACGTGCGTGCTGCGGTGCCACAGTGGCTGCTCGCGGCGCCACCCGATGCTGCCTTGGTTGCAGGTCCGGCGCTCGAGGCACGAACAAAGCTTGGTGCCAGTGAACTTAGGGTGGCTCTCGATGGAAGTTTTCAGCCCTCCAACACCGGAGGTTCGGACGGGCTCCAAAGCGGAACCGCGATTGGTATGCCGGTTTTGCTTGGGCAACTGGCTGCGGTCCGACAGCGACAACGGCGGCACAACATACAACACGGCATGACGATGTGCTTTTCGATTTGCATTTGGATTTACATATCGATGTGCATTTTGATTTGCTTTTCGATTTGCATGTCGACGTGCATTGGAAAACTCGCCGCGGCGCTCACGGCGCCTTACGATTTGCATTCGGATTTGCAAATCGATTTGCATTTCGATGTGCTTTCCGGTCTGCATGTCGGTTTGCATGCAGACTTGCATTGGCTAGCTCGCCGCAAGCGGCGATGTTTTGAAATGCGCAACCCACGGCGGGACACCAGCGGGACACCGCGGGCCACCGTTTGACGGGAGGAGCATCATTTGGTCCGGCCGCGGCCCAGCCACAGGAGGATTTCGGGACACCAGCGGGACACTGGCGGGACACCGCGCGCCACCGGCTGCCGGAGGAGAATCATGTGGTCCGGCCGCGGCCCAGCCACAGGAGGATTTCGGGACACCAGCGGGACACCGGCGGGACACCGCGGGCCATCGGCCGCCGGAAGAGAATCATTTGGTCAGGCCGCGGCCCAGCCACAGGAGGATTTCCTCTCGCCCGCCCACGCAGCTTCGCCTCGCCCGCCCGCACGCACGCACGGCACGCACGACACGAACCCGAAACCGAAATCGATTTCCCGGTAGGGGGGTCTCCGCTTCACGTCGGACTCACCCCCCAACCTGCGAACTCCTCCCTGTCCCACCCCCCGACGTGCCGGTAGGGCGGGCTGGACGTTTCGCCTGAGGACGAGTTCGCCGTTTATGATCTTGAAGCTCGAACGTTTTCAAGAATTTCACGGATGGATGGCGGGTCCTTTTCAACATGTGGCTCTCGCCTCAGCGCCGCGCACATGCGTCGTAAACTATTACGGCGAACTCACGGATGGAGGGCGGGCCCTTTTCAAAATGCGTCTCTCGCCTGTGTGCCGCGCACATTCGTCTTGAAAGTTTGCTGCAGGCTCGCGGATGGAGGGCGGGCCCCCTTCAAAATGTGGCTCTTGCCTGACCACCGCGCACACCGGTCTTAACAGTTTACAGCAATTTCACGGATGGAGGGCGGGTCGTTTTCATAATGTGGCTCGCGTAAGTGTCGCGCGCACTCGTCTTCAAAACTTGCAGCAGTTTCACAGATAGAGGGCGGGTGTTTTTCAACATGTGGCTCTTGCCTTAACGCTGCACAAATTCGCGTTATTAGTTTACAGCAGTTTCAAAGATTCGTGTGGTCAAAATTCCAGGGATGATGCTTTGGCACGATTTAGGGTTGTCCGGACGCAACGGTCACTTTGATTCGCGGTGTTGAAGTCCCACGAGCGGTGTTCTGGCGCGATTTAGGATTCTGTGTGCAAAAATCACGTTGGCCCGCGGCGTTGGAGTCCCAGGAACGGTTGACAATTCTCAGGCGGTTGTCTTCCAATGGCCACTCCACGCAATGAACAGACATAGTTCTTAGAGACCTATGAAGAGGGAACTTGGAGGAAGGGTTGATTGCACCATCGTTGGCGCGTCTTGGGTTTGCACTGGTCTTCGTCCTCCTCCTTCTCCTTCAGTTCCTCCTGATGGGGCGGGGCAGCAGGGACCGCTGCAGGCTGCAAGGACCGATGGCTCCTCTCTTGGCAAGGTGGGAGGTGGGCGGGGGGGGGGAAAGGAGAACGATGATGCTGCTGCTGATGATGACGATGATGATGATGCTGTTGTTGATGATGATGGTGATGATGATGATTGTAGTAGTGATGATGCTGATGGTGATGACGACGTTGGGAACAGTTATTGTTCATGATGATGGTGAATGTTGGTGATGCTGGTGATGAGGGCGAGGAGGAGGAGGACCAGACCAAACACAATATGCAACAACGATGCTGAAATACCCCCCCCCGTCCCAAGTTCCGTCCTCATAAATCCCTACAGGTCCTTCTTTTCGCTACATCCCCACTGAAAGACGAGCATCCAATGGGCCTGCCATTCAGACAAGAGAGTCGTAGCATCGTTCTAGCGACATAATAGCAACGTGATGAGTTATCACCATGCAATTCAACGAGATGTCCAACGATAACCTTGTTTACGAAACCGCCCACAACCCGTGCAACAATTACCTGAACTTGCACTTCTCTCAATCCATTTTGAAAACGTCTCGTGCGATAACCCCACTTTGACAAACAACCGCCCTGCCCACATGCAACTATTACACATGTTCAAAATTCCGGTCGTGAGCTCTTGGATGTCTCAAGCGATACCCCTATGTTGAACAGGAGCCGTCCCTCATCCATGAAAGCTGTTCCGCATTTTGAAATGCATGTGCACGGCACGAAGGCGAGAGTCATACATTGAAAACGAATCGCCTTCCCCCCTCGTATCTGCTGAAAATTTTGAAGACGGATGTTCGCGGCGCTGAGGCGAGAACCCAACTCTGAAAACGTACCGCCCTCCATCCTTGAACACACTTGAAACTTTTGAGAACATGTGAAAAATGCTTCAGCCATCTCTTGAAACGCATATGCACGGCGCTAACGCGAGGACTTCGTTGGAAAAGATACCGACCTCAACCCGTGTAGCTGTTGCGCAATGTTACACATGTGGTGGCATTTCTGAACAGTCTTAAACGGAAACTCACTTTTGAAAAGGACCTGGCCTCCGTCCGTGTAACAATTGCAAATTTGTATAAAGGAAAACCGGTTGTGCGCGTAACGCGAGAGCCCAAGTTTGAGAAAGATCAGGCCTTCATCCATGTAGTTGTTGCAAACTCATAAGATGAATATGCGTTGCGCAAAGGCGAGAACCCAATTCCGAAAATGATGAGAATGAGGATGCGGAGCAGGAGGGAAAAGAGCAGGCAGAGAAGCGGGCAGGGGGGAGGATATGGGAGGAGGGGGAGAAGGAAGAGGCAGAGGAGAGAGAGGGCGAGGAGCATTGACATCAGACCTGTAATCGACTGGGATCGGCAGCGTCGCATCGGAATCAGATCAGGATCGACACCGGAGGCGGGGCACGTAGGCGATTCGACATCGGATCGTGCCAGCACCTGCTGCGCAGCGGCCTGCCTCAACGCGAGCTGCGCGGCGGCCTGCTGCGCCGCTGCGGCCTCGGCCGCCTCCTGCGGCTGCCTCAGCTGCTGCTGCTGCTGCTGCAGCTGCTGCTGCATCTGCTGCTGGAGCTCCTGCTGCAGCAGCAGCTGCGTCTGCTGCATCTGCTGCTGCTGCCTCACCTGCTCGTCCGTCAGCGGCAGCGGCGGCTGCTTTGGCAGCGGCTGCGACGGCGACTTCTGCTGTGGCGGCTGCTGCTGCGGTTGTTGCTGTGGCTCCGGCTGCGGTGGCTGCGGCTGCTGGCTTGGCGGCGCCTTCGCTGGCGGCTGCTCCGCAGCAGATGCCTTAGCCACTGTCGAAGACTGGAGCTGCTGCTGCATCTGCCTCTGCAGCTCCTGCTGCAGCAGCCACTGCTCCTCCTGATCAGGTGACTTCTGTGGCTGCTGTGTTTCGGGCGGTTCCTGGCGGGCGCTGGTCCTGGCCGGCGCCGCCTCCGCCAATTCAGCCGTCGCGGGCTCCGGCGCGACAACGGGCACGGGCGGCTGCGGCGGTTCCGCGAGGGTGGCGGCGCGCGGCACCTCCGCCGTATCAGCTGCCGCGGGCTCCCGCGAGACAGCGGGCGCGGGCGGTTGCGGCGGCTCCGCGGAGGCGGCATTTGCTGACGCGTCAGTGCGAGGCACCTCCGCCCTCTGAGCCGCCGCGGGCTCCTGAGGGACTGCGGGCACGGGCAACTGCAACGATTCCGCAGGGGCAGCCTTTGCCGAGCTGTCGGTGCGAGGCACCTCCGCCGTCTCAGCCGCTGCCGGCTCCCGCGGGACAGAGGGCACGGGCGGCTGCGGCGGCTCCGCAGGAGCGGCCTCCTCCGAGGCGTCGGCGCGAGGCACCTTCGTGCTCGCGGGTGCCCCGTTGGCCGCCGCGCAGGGGGCCTCCGGCGGCGCTGGCGCGGCCGTCTTCGGTGCGGGCGCCAACTCCGAGCTCTGGCGCCACGGCGGTGGCGCCACGGCTGGCGCCAGCTCTGAGCTTTGGCGCCAGGGCGGTGGCGCTGGCACGGCCGCAGACTGCTGGACCACCAGCGCCGCCGCAGGCGCCGTGACTACAGGCGCCAGCGCCGCGCCGCCAGTCGGTGCGGCAGGCGGCGGCTGCTTGTGCTGCACCTGCACTCCTGCGACCATCCCTGGCGCCAAAGGCGGCGGCTGCTTGTGGAACATGCCCATGCCTGCCGCGGCTGGGGAAGCCTGCTTCTGCTGCGTGCCTGGGCTGCCGAAGGACACGGCTGCCCCGCCAGGGAACGCGACCACCTGCGGCAGGGAAGCCGAGGGCGGTGGCGGTGGCGGGACCTGCTGCTTCAGCCACGGGGGCTGCGCAACGGGATGCCCCAGAGGCACTACCAACTGGGGCAAACATCCACCTGGGAACTTGGCGAACGCGCCATTCCTGGGGAAGCAGAAATACCGAGACCGCTACTCACAATTCCTCTCCCAAGCTGCGTTCTGAGCAAGGTCTTCGCGGTGAACCCGGGCGTGGGGACGAGGGCCGCGCACGAGGCAGACAAAGGCGAACACTGAGGGAAGCTACAAGGCCACGCTTACGGCGATGTTGGTTAATGGCGATGTCGGGAATCTGGTTTCTGCGACGCCGAACTCGCGCAGAACAAACTGCAGGAAAACACGCACAACGCTCTCCTACGATCGGGGGCCATGAACCACCCCCACCCTACAATACCAAAGCGCAAGCGTGTCTACGGAAGACACTGGTATCGGGACGCCTTTCTCGGCGGCGAGCGAGGGGGGGAAGTGAGAAGGAGAAGGCCTTCTCAGAAGGCGGCGGGACTTCTCAGAAGCCCTCGTACCTCCTGCGACATTTTCAGTGTCTTCGAGGAAGGGTCATAACACTTCTCAGAAGACCGGGTGACTTCCGAGCCTTCTGAGCACGCCTTCTCCTTCTCACTTCCCCCCAGGCTCGCCGCTGACTGTCTCTCCCGGGCTCCCCGGCGCCACCACCACCCTGGACTAGAAGGCCGCATGTGGGCTAGTTCGCGATACCGTGTCACGGTCTCGCCCCGACGCGCGTGCGGATCGCCTCTGCCGCGCTGCGACGGAAAAGAAAAGGTGTCTGCGGAAGGCACTGGTATCAGGTCGGGCATGTCCTCCTACAGGGATTTTGGGCGACAGATAACAAATACCAGACACATATCTTTAATAGCCCATATATATATATATATATATATATATATATATATATATAATATATATATAAAAAATAAAATCGTTCCCAGACATTTCTAAATATTATTTTTGAATATTCCTTCTGTAGAGGGACACGCCCGACTTAACACTGGTATCGGGACGCCTTTCATCCTGAGTCGTTTTTTGACGGTCACGGGGCCCGGTAAGGGCCCCCAGAAGCCGAAAATATGTAAAAGCCTCCCGTCGTGATTTCTTCAACGGCGCAAGGAGGTGACCTTCTCCCCCGGGCTCCCCTGCGCCAGCACCGCCCCGGACTGGAAGGCCGCGTGCGGCAGCGCTGCGGCCATCGCGTGGCCCGCCTGCGCCGGGGCAAGCGCGGCGCCCGCGGGAGGGCGTCCGGGGGCCTCCATCGCCGCCACGGGCGCGGCCCAGCCCCGCAGGCGGGGGGCTGCCGCCCCCGCCGACCCCCCCCGACCTGGCGCGCCGAGCCAGAGTCTGCGGGGCCCCTGGCGCGCGCGCGCCAGGAGGCAGAAGTCTGGCGTCTGTCCCCCTCCCCCCCTTCTCCTCCCTGTCCACCTCCTCCCGATCCTCCTCCTCTTGCTGAGTGCTAGCATGCTGTCGATGCGGGGGCATGCAATCACGTCAGGGCCCCTCCTGATGATGATGAAGATGCTGATGATGATGATGATAATGATGATGATGATGATGATGCTGATGGCTGATACAGATGCTGCTGATGATGACGATGGTGGTGTTGATGACGATAAGAATCAACATCACCATCATCAACACCATCATCATCACCATCATCATCATAACCATCACCATCATAATAATCATCATCATCACCATCACCATCACCATCACAATCGTCATCATCACCATCGTCATCATCACCATCGTCATCATCATCATCACCATCGTCATCATCATCATCACCATCACCATCACCATCACCATCACCATCACCATCATCATCATCATCATCATCATCATCATCATCATCATCCCTCCCTCTCTTGTGGCTGCCCTCTTCTCTCTCTCTGCCTTTCCGCCACCCACCAGGCTGAGGCCTGCTGGCTTCTGAGTAGCGCCCCCCCGGCCCGCCCCGCCCCGCCCTGCCTGCCGCGGCCGCCCAGACCCGGCAATCCGGGTGGTCCCCCCGAGTGCTCCGCCTCGTCCGCCCGGCACACTGCGGTCACGGAGGCCCAACGGTCCGGGCGCGAGGCGATCAGCAGCGGGTCTCACGGCCGTGCCAAGCAACACCCTCGTGGGCCCGCCGAGGGCGCTCCGAGGAGGAAAAAAGGTCCATGCCGCCACCCTTTTTGGGCCTCCTGGGAGGCCCTCGTCGCCACCGCTGGATCCGCCTCGAAATCCGGGTCAGAACGCACCCTGGGAGAGGTCCAGGGAGTACAGTAGAGACCTATGCCAAGAAACACGCTGCTTGCCTCCAGGGTGCCCTGGGTTTCTTGGTTGTCGCTGGTTTTGCGACGGAAAGCGTGACGTTCCCATACCAAAAATCGACGGACGACGTCCTGGGGGTCTCAAGATTATGGAAGGTTCCTTGTGATCGAGCCCTTACTGTATGACGCACGAACGATACACAGCCACATCAATAGGGAGGTCGGAGGGAGGCGGACTTGCTGAGGGTATGGGTGCGGGTTGTCGGACCCCTGGGGAGGCTCCCGTTCGAACAGGGGCCCCGATCCGACAGCGCGCACCCATGGCCCTGTCCGTCCCCCCCATGGCTATGGGTATGTGTGTGTGTGTGCGTGTTGTTCGTTCGTGGTCCACGCGAGATGACGCAACGGCCTCACGCGGTGGCTTACGGGGGGCGCCAGCGCGGCAAAGCACAGTGGAGACGAAGGCGCTTACGCGCGAGCTTACGCGGGCGGCTTGCACGCCAATGTCGGCGCAGTCGACCCCGTGTCCTTTGGTCTCTCGGGTGTTCCCTGGGTGTCCATCCTTGTCCGCTCTGCACACCGCGGCCGCCAGGCTCCAGAGAGATCCCCGAATCCAAGGGCGACACAAAGAACAAGAGAAAAGGTGTACGTAACATGCGCTCCCGCCTGGGGGCGTCACGACGTCACGGCGTCCACGTACATCTAGAACTCGCATTAAAAGGACTGCAGTGAGATCGTGCGCTAACAACATACACCGATAGCATACATAAGTAACGCCCACGAGACATACACACCCGCAGCGGACATCAAACACAAACATCATGGGCACACGCCGACAGCATATACCAATCAACTACCATGCCCCCCCGCAACTGCGGATCAGATCGAGGAGGCTGCGAGGTCGTCGGCAGTCTGCGATGCCCGAAAACAAACTTTGAAACTAACCAGCCACACGCGCCAATGTTTGACACATTGCATAACAAACCCGCCGCGGGAATTGCATTTATACCAGAGCAATGTGAGTGGGCCGCGGGCGGGTCGCGGCTGGGTCGTGGGTTGGTCACGGGCGAGGGCGATCACAGCAACAAGCAATTAGAACTCCCACCGCGGAGCGAGCTTCAGCCGCGCACCCAAGGATGGTGTAAGACCGTTTGGCCCCCTTCATTATGACGTCGACAACCGTCACCAACACTATACACCAATGCCTGGCGTAAACAACATACGTCCACACCAATCATCCATTATACACACCGAAAGCATGCACCAATATCAGACACAGAAAACAATAATGATATGCATTGTGCAACCTAGGTGGGGCAATCGATGTGGTGCAAACAATCACTTGCCGAACTTGAAGTTGTCAACTCCATTGCTCGCGCAATAATCCCATCCACCCACCCGCAACTTGGTTTGCAAAACCCATGCGGGACCGAGCACAGATATCGCTCCGGGGTCGTCTTGGAGCCCTCGGGGGCGTCTCAAGAGCGCCCCAAGAAGGCCGGAGAAGCAAGACGGCCGACGACGACGACGACGACGACGACGACGGCGGCAACGACGACGACGCCGACGTCGACGACGACGAAGACGACGAAGCCGACGCCGACGACGACGACGAAGACGACGACGACGACGACGCCGCCAACGAAGACGACGACGAGGGAGGAGGGAGGACGACGACGGCGCAACGACGACAACGACGACAACGAGGGAGGAGGGAGGACGGCGACGACTCGAACGACGAAGAAGAAGGAAGGACGGCGACGCCGACGACGACAACGACGAGGGAGGAGGGAAAACGACGACGAGACGACGACGACAACGACGACGACGACGGCGACGAAATAGGAAGGACGACGACGAGACGCCGACGACGGACGACGACGACGACGACGACGAGGGAGGAAGAGGAAGGACGACCACAGCGACAACGACGACGGAAACGACCACGACGCCAAAGAGGACGACGACGACGACGAACACGAGGAAAGACACAGGACGACGTAGGCGACGACGACGACGACGACGCGGGAGGAGGGAAGACGGCGACGACGACGACGACGACGACGATGACGCCGCAAGAGCGCGCGCGCACGCTTGTTAAAAATGCGTGTTGCGAAACGTTGTGTTTTTGTAGTTTTTTTTGGACGCGCGATTTTGAAATCCTTCCGAAGCCGATGGGTTTTGAAGGATTTCGGCATACGCGCGCGACGACGCGCGCGTCTGCACTTCGTCCCTTTTTTTGCAAAATATTCTCGCGACGGCACACGCGCAAGGGCGTTCGACAGATTTCGACATGCGCGCGCGCGACGCCCGTTTGGTAGCAGGTTGTGTAAATCTCGAAAAAACCAATGGTTCTCTTAAGATTTCGTAAGAGCTCGCGCGTAAGCTTTTTTAGCAAATCAATGTTACGAAACCCTGTGTTTTTGTATGTTTTTTTTGGAAACTCGATTGCGAAATCTTTCCGACACCGAGAGTTTTTGAAGGATTTCGGCATGCGCGCGCGACGACGCGCGCGTGTGCACTTCGTCCTTTTTTGGCAAGGGATTCGTGAAAAAAGTGCACTGTTATAGCAACAAATATCACCGCATAGTGTCTTTTACAAGGGGACCTCAGGGGGGGGGGGATACCAGCTGGCCTGGGACATTGTGATTTCATATTTTTGATGGACATGTGGTCAGAATCGTATACGATTTACAAACCCGAAAGGGGGACCGATAACGCCAGGATGGGAAATTAGATCCTATTCTGTTTTTAGAAAAGAAAAATGAATCATCCCACCCACCCACCCGCAACTTGGTTTGCAACACCGATGCGGCGGCGATTGCGATGAGTGATTGGAGTTAGCTGATGCATCTCTGCGGCCGCGCTGGCCCGCGCATGCTCGCGCGCGCAGCGGCCGCAGAGTTTGGCGCGACCGAGGCGGCCGCGGTGGCGCTGACTGTTGGACACTTCCTAGCGGGCACCTCAGTGCGAGTCGGCGACTTGGGCAGGTGCGGTGCCATGGCAACGTTGACGCGATGATGCTGGTAGTGATGCTGGTGGCGATGATGACAACGACGGCGACGATGGTATCGTGGGCGCCGGTGCTGATCACGCCGACGACGATGACGGCGCCCTCGCGTCGGTGATGACGGTTTCGGAAAGAGTTCGAGATGCGCGCGCGGCCGACGCGTAATAATGGCCCGAATGGTATTACTTGACACGGGTCGTGTCCCCCCCCCAGCACGCGCGCAAGGGCGTTTGCGACGTGCGGCGCGTTGAGCCCGTTTTGTAGAATTGTATGCATTGTTTGAAAAAACCTATGGTTTTCGTCCGACTTCGCAGGGGCGCGAACGCAGGCATTTTTGAAAACTGAATGTGCGAAACCATCTGTCGTTTATACGATTTCGGAACAGTCGTTTTTGAACTCCTGGCGAAACTTTCGGTTTTTGAAAGATTTCGGCATGCGCGCGCGACGACGCGTGCGCGTGCACTTTGTCCCTTTTTTTGCATGGGATTCTTGCGACAGCACGCGCGCAAGGGCGTTCGAACGATTGCGACATGCGCGCGCGAGAGGCATGCAGCAAGCCATGAGCATGTTGAAAACCTATGGTTATCTGGAGCATTCGGAAAAAACCCGAGCGTACGATGTCGTTGAAACCTTTTTCTTGTGTATTTGTGTGTAATATATATACATATATACATATTTATTTATTTATTCATTCGGGACACTCGAGCTTGAACTCTTTACCATACCTACGGTTTTCGAAATATTCGGCACACGCTCGCAAGGACGCGTGCGTGTGCACATCGTCCCGTTTTTTTTTTTTTTTTTTTTTGGGGGGGTGCACGGTATTCTTGAACACTAATGGTTTTGATAGACGAATATGCGCGCATAATATATTTTGCGGAAGGCTAGGGGGGGGATGCCAGTTTCACTGGGATAATATGGACCCAGATGTACGGTGGACGATGGGGCAGGATCGTAAATCAATCGCAATACGAAAAGGGAGTTCGATTAGTTATCAGAAAAAAGACTCTACGTGGTGCAATATATGAGTGACATCTATGTTGTGCAACCCATGTGGTGCAACAAAGGTGTTGCAACATATGTTTTGCAATCCAAGCTGTGTACTAGATGTGGTGCAATCTATGTGGTGCAGTATCGATATAAAAGTGTGGTGCCATCTGTGATGTGCAGTATATATATACACATATTTACGGCGTAACCGACGTGATGCATCTTATGTTCATCCGTTCATTTCATTCACATCGTTGGCGCCGATGTCTGGGTTTGTTCAACTGGCCTGCAACACGATCGTGGCTAAGGCAATTGGCACACGGTGCGACGTCCCTAGGTTGTAGCGGAGCCGAAAACCCCACCCTGCGTGGTGGTCCCGCAGACGACGGATCCGAGTGCTGCAATCCATGCGGTGCAACCTATGTGGTGCAATCTATGTTGTGCAATTCGCCCTGCCGAAGTTGAAAATATCAACTCCCTTGCTCGCGCAACCATCCCACCCACCCACCCGCAACTTGGCTTGCAACACCGATGCGGCGGCGATTGCGATGTTTGCTCGGCGCTGGCTGGCGCACCACTGCGGCCGCGCTAGCCCGCGCATGCTCGCGCGCGCAGCGGCCATTTAGTTCGGCGCGACCGACGCGGCCGCGGTGGCCGCTGGGCACTTGCCAGCGGGCATTTCACTGCCAATCGGCGACTCGGGCGGGCGCGGTATCATGGCAACGTCGACGCCGGTAGAGACGATGCTGCTGGTAGCGATGCTGGTGATGATAATGACAACGACGGCGGCAAGGCCAGTGACGGCGCCGATGCTGATCACGCCGGCGACGATGACGGCGTCCCCGCGTCGGTGATGAACGTTTTGGTGGGGGAAGTTCGACATGCGCGCGCAGCCGACGTGGCCCGCATGGCATTATTTGGTACGGATCGTACCCCCCCAACTCGCGCGCAAAAGCGTTCGAATGATTTCGACATGCCGCGCGAGAGACCCGTGTTGCCGAATTGTTTTTTTATTATTAAACTATGGTTTCTGGAAGAATCCGCAGGAACGCGACCGCACTTTTTTCCTTAGAAATGATGCTGCAAAGTCATTGTGGCATGTTTTCGGTACGCTCGATGTTGAAATCCCTGCGACACCCAAGGTATTTCAAGAATGTCGGCATGCGCGCGCGACGACGCGCGCGTGTACACTTCGTCTCTTTTTTTGCAAGGGGTTCTGGCGACAGCACGCGCAAGGGCGTTCGAACGATTTCGACATGCGCGCGCGAAAGGCCCTTTCCGTAGCAGGTTATGAACCTGTTGAAAGACATGTTCTTTTGAATTCGCAAGCGCGCGGGCGCCTCTTATGTATGTGTGTCTGTATATATGTATGTATGTTTGTATGTATGTATGTATGTATGTATGTGTGTGTGTATGTATGTATGTATGTATGTATGTATGTATGTATGTATGTATTTGTATTTATGTATGTATGTATGTATGCATGCATGCATGTATGTATGTATGTATTTATGTGTGTATGGTATGGTATGTATGTAGGTCGGTAGGTCGGTAGGCATGTAAACATGTATGACATGTTCGTCGCGAAACCGTGTGCTTTAATCTGTTTTCGGGGTACTCGTTTTTTTGTTGTTTTCAATTTTTGTTTTTTCGCAAAACCTGCAATGTTTGACAGATTCCGGCATGCGCGCGCGGCGACGCGCGCGTGCACTTTGCCTTTTTGGGGCAAGGGGCTCATGAAACAACTGCTGAGTTTGGAAAAACCGGTGTGCGCGCGTAGTATTGTTTGCAGAAAGGATGAGGGAGGGCCGATACCGACTTGCCTGTGGTGGTACGAATTCATATTTTCGGATGGGCGATGGGCCAGAATCGCATGCGACTTGCAATGCGAAAAAAATACCGTTAAGTCCAGGGAGGGGGAAGGCAGATCCTGTCACCTTTTCTAAAACCTATGCGGACACAGGGCAGCGATTGCGAGCACGGAGACGCCAGACCGCCAGCTAGACCCAGACGACGGGCGGTGACGGGGCGGCGACGGCGAGCACGGAACCGCCAGACCGCCAGCCAGGCCCGGACGACAGGCGGCGACGAGGCAACGACGGGGCGGCGACGTCGAGCACGGAGCCGTCAGACCGCCAGCCAGGCCCAGTTCCTCAGACAATAAAAAGGAATACCTGAGTGCAAGCTCTGTTTGTGGAATCGCACCCTAAGAGCATACATACTGATATGCTGGCACTCCTTGGTGGGGGGTGCTCGAAATATCATCTTCCCATTTTTTTTGGTCTCTCTCTCTCTCTCTCCCTTTCTCTTCTCGGAGATATAGCTCCTGTTCTTGATCCTTGTCTCTTTTGACGTCCTTCTCTTCCTTATTCCTCCTCCTCTTTCCTTCCCCTTCCTCTTCCTCCTCTTCCCACTCCCCCCCTTTCCCTCTTCCTCCCTCTCCCTCTTCCCGCCCCTCCCTCCTCCTCCCCTCCCTTCTCCCCCCCTTCCCCTCGCGCTCCGACCCACTCCCCCTCCTCTCCTCTACCTTCTCCTCCGCAGCCTCTTCTTCCTCTCTCTTTCCCTCCTCCTCCTCCATTCCGCTCCTGCTCTTTCGCCTCCACCTTTCCCCATGCCCCTTCCCCCCATTCGTGTCGTGGCCGAGATCTGCTCGGCTTCCCCCGCAAGACCTCTCTGGGCACCGTCGCCCTGCTACACCTCCAAAGCCAAGCCGGTCCACATGCGCGGTCTCCAGAGGCCTCCTTGCTCCGTGGCAGTCCTTGGTGAAGCGTCGAACACAGCTGGATGTGGCAAATAGCGTGGGTACTATCATGTATTCCATATCAATGATAATCGCTCTGTACTCTAAAGAGTGCGCAACTTCGGAACGGGGGTGATTTCTTACCTTCACGACTCTTCCCCTCGATTTCAAGCTAGCAAATCCGCCACCGTGCCGCTTGGCGTGTAGTGGAGTGTTCTCAGGTACCTTCGAATTCTCTGCGTAGAGCCTTGTAAACACTCTTTAAAGGGTCCAGGCCGCAGAGTTCAGGTTACTTCTAGGCGCTCCTTGGCGCTCTCGAGATTCCCCGCGTGACTTTCCTGGACGCTTCAGGAGCGTGGTTGGAGGCATCGCCCACCAGCGTGCCCCAAGATGGCCGCAGGGATCCGCGCTGGAGCCCCCTTGGGCCGTCTTGGGGGCCCTGGGGTTTGGCCCAAGAGACCATTCTCGGCCGCTTTGGTCCTCAGAGCGAGCAGGGCGGCCAAACAGTAAGGCGAAGCTGGGGCGAGGATAACGTCGGGTGAGGATAGATCGGGGATCTCTGAGATCCGGCGGCTCTGGAGGACGTCTCGGGCGCCGCGGCCTTCTCACACCGTTCGGGGACGCTCTGAGAGCGTCCTGGAACGCTCTCGAACGGATTGGTCCTCGTCCTAGCCCCGCCCGACAACAGGCCCCTGAGATGGCCTTAGAGGCCTCCCAGGCATGCCCCGGAAGGGGTGCCCGAACTTCTTCTTCGAGCCGATCCCCCCCATATAGACTCAGATAGAACCTCCGAGATCGCCGGCGGGTCCCCCGGGAGGCCCCCAGAAGACTCCCAAAGGGGGCGGCGTGTGCAAGAGTGCCTAGCGACGCATGCAAGGGTTTCTGACGAGGCCAGGGCATCCCGATGACTGGGTTTGTCTGTAAGCCACCTCCTGGATATGCCTCGGTGGCAAGATGCCCTCAGCACCTGGAGGCCCCCAGACTCGGCCCGCGCCCTTCGCGACACGGGGGAGCGATGCGGCACCGCGCCGCGAAACCTCCGCCCTTCCGAGAAGGGGTCCCGAGCTTTTGTCACTGGTTAGCCCGGCCAGGGGGGGCCCTGTCTGCACGCGGCACAAAACGCAAACGCCAGGAAAGGGAGGGCTGAATTTGATCTGCACCATGCCCGCCTTCGGTTAGAAAAGGGGGGGGTCTCCTCGGCTCTTTCCGCTGTGATTTCGATCGCACCGAGCAGCTAGGCTTCCCCTAGGTCCCCACCTCCTCTGTCGAGAACGGGGCACGCGCTCGTCGGTGCACCGTGGCACCCCCGGGCAGGACAGAACCCGAGAGAGGTGGACCGGTAGAACGACTTTTTTTTGGGGAGGGGGGTCTGGCTCGGGGGGGGCTTAGACCTCGACCCGTAGTCGGCGATACACCGCCGGTGGAGATCGGCGACAGGTCCCCGACGGGGAGAGCCGCACGCTCCTGGGCGGGGCGGGCCATCGGGCCCCTGTCGGCGACGGGTGTGCGGGAGGAGGAGGAGGAGGAGGAGGAGGAGGAGGAGGAGGAGGAGGAGGAGGAGGAGGAGGAGGAGGAGGAGGAGGAGGAGGGAGGAGGAGGAGGAGGAGGGTCGATGCGTTCCCCCCTGAGCCTGGCCCCCCCCCACCTCGCGTGGCCCCCGGCTGGGGCTCGCGCCCTCCCCCCCTCTGCCCCGCCAGCCTGGTCGTCCAGGCTGTCCGCGGTGTGGGTGCTCCGGACCTCGTCCTGGTGGTCGTTGATCTCGCTCGCGGCGGGCAGCGACAGTGGCTGCTGGTCCGCCGCCTCCGCCTAGGCAGGGTCGGGCAGTGCAAGCTCGCGACGGTCGCAACGAGGGCCACGCATCGTCCTCTCCCTGCTTCTCCTCATCATTTCCCATTCCCCACTCTCTTTCTGCTTCTTCCGCATCCTCCGCCCCTTCTTTTCCCCACCTCCTGCAGCCCTCGATCCTCAGCCCTACTCCCTCCTCCCGCCACCCTCCTCCTTCCTCCCACCCCGCCTCCTTCCTCCTTCCTTCTCGCACGCTTCTTCTCTCTGCCCATCCTCTTCCATCCTGCTCCTCCCCCTCCTGCTCCCCCTCCTCTCCTTCATGAGGTTGATGTTGCGCACATGGCTGCAACACTAACTCGCTATGATAAGAGCGCATTTCCGATATTTCAGAATGAAGCCTCTTAGGTTCCACGCTCTCGGCCGAGAGCGACGGACAAGGTCGAAGGGAAGCCGAACTCAGCTGTTTCCAAGGCTTGATCCCACTCCAAGCTGGATGAACTCACGGGCAAACTGCGTGCATAGTATGCCTCCCATAAGCATGGCCCCGAAGTGCCGTTATCGAAGACAGTTGCCATTACGATACGGTCGGGAACTTTGACTAGCGTGTCGCGGCGGCGGCCCCAGCGACACGCTATGCCTTGCGAGTGGATCCTGTGTCGCTCCGCTCCGCGGGACGGGATGCTCGCAAAGGCCCGGGACGTTGAAGCCTGGGGACTGAGAAGTGGACAGCGCGTCGCGCCGAAGCGTGGTAGGCCAAGCCTGGCGGAGCGACGCGCTGTCCAACAGCTCCCGACCGCACTTCCCCGCACCCGCACGGTGTCGAATCCTTCCGCGAGGCTCCCGTGCGTGCCTGCGAAGGCGTGCGCGGTGGACGCTGGTACGAAACAAGCATGGAACACTCCCATCGGGGCTGGCTCAGCGGATCCATCTCATGAGATTGCAATGACGTGTGTACACGTCGTTCATTTCTAATCGTGCTCATTTCTAATTGTGCTCGTTTCTAATTGTTCCTGGCCCCCTACTGGCCAGGAAGAGGCCCAGGATAGAACATCTATAACTGAAAGGACCTTGGCCCCCCCAAAAAGTCAAATAACTTTCGAAGAGTTAGAAACGAACAATGTGTGCACATCTTCGTGTGTGCGAATCTCGCGTCGCACGCGCCACGCCGCGCCCCACACCACCTCGCCAAGTGCACGGCCCAGGCGTTGCCGCTTCTTTGGTCAAGACAATGACCTGCATGCCAACCCGGCAGCGGCCAGCCAACAACAAAGAACAGACCCACCGACATGTCTGTGCAGTGTGCCCTGCACCATGCGCCTGAGCTGCACACCGCTGGAGTTCTTGAGTTTGCAACCAACGCTCTGCAGTAGTCGCTCCGAGGCAGCAGGCTCAGCGGTTGTTTCTGTGAGGGGGAT